TGCTGAACTGAAGCCTCTGAGGAAGGCAGGCAAATGGGATGTCACCTGAGGATCTCACCTGAAATGTGGGAAACCCTACCGCTAAGAACTTCCTTGCGGCCTCCTGGCCGGGCTGCTGAGTGGTGGCAGGGACGTGGGCAAGCACAGAGGGCAAACTTAAGGACAGAACGAAGAATTTCTTCTCTGGTCAGTATGAAATGGTGCTCTCTGTCAGCAATTCACAGGCAAGCAGGAAGGGGGCGCTGGAATCACTCAGGGGTGGTCCTGTCCTGCCAGCGAATGCCACACGGGTGGCCGTTCCCCCACTTGAAAATATCCACAGAGCAAAGAGAAAACCACCCCTTATAGGAGGAGATAGAGATGTGTCTTTTGAAAGAGCTGGAAGCTACACACACACAGGCAACACACACAGGCAGCACACACGGGAGGGCGAGTGACTCACAGAAATACAGGAAACTCAGTAGGAGACCTTCCCAGGCTGGCACCACGGGGAGGGGAGGCTCTCTCCTCCCGGGACTGCGCCTGCCCAGTGGCTCTGGAGATGCGCCACAATCAGGAAACCACAGCACCTTCCCCACAGGAGGGCTGGCAGCGCCACAGCTGCTGTCAGGAGCCGGTCACTTCAGAACCACGGACAAGAGCCTAGCGTGGGCACGTCCTGACAGAGCAGGTCAAGAGGACGGGGGTGCTGGACTGCCCAGCGGGCAGCCCAGACACACAGGAAGAGGAGCTGACAGGGCCCAGCAGCGTGCACTGGGCGGCCAGGACGAAGCGTGCATGGCGTTCCTGCGTCCGGGGTGGCCCTGGGCCGAGTCTCCCATGTCCCTGGGCAGCAGGGGGAGGACAGTGCCTTCCAGGAAGGGACACGGTAATTATTCCTTAACGTAAGACACCTATTTGGGTTTCTGCCCCCTCCAGAAGAAAGGGCCCAGCAGGAGAGAGCGGCAATGAGCCCAGGCGTGCGGCAGGACCTCAGCCTGGAGGAGCTGTGTGTGGCAGCACCAAGCCAGCCCGGGGAGCAAGGCTCCCTGCTATGACTGCGAGAGGGTGCCTCCAGGGACAGAAACCAGCAGAAAACCACGTTCAAGGGCAGGACTTTGCTTTGGTTTCTTAAGTCAAACCCTGACAAAGACGAGGAAGGGACAAGTCCAGTGCACGTGTTTCTGGTGTCTGACAGCCCCTCAGCTCCCAGCCATGCCTGTCCTCTGACGCAGGACAGAGCTGAGAATGTGAAATGCAAGCCTGGAGAGCGCTACAGGGACAGAGGCCGGTACGACTCTGAGGCTTTCTCATGAGGACTGGACAGGGCGGGTGGGGGATCCCTCTGACACTCAGCAATGTTACCCTTAATTGTAGAGGCCGATGACATTCCTGACAGTGTCACTAACGTATGACTGCATAGCAATTTCCAGTTCACAAAGCACTTTTACTTCTGTTTTGAATGACCAAGTCAGGAAATGTATGTATAAGAGATTATTTTACAGATTAGAACAAAAGTGTCACTTAAAAGGATACAGACTTCCCAAGGTCAAAAGATTAGGAAAAGAAACTCCTACTATGACTCAGGTCTCCTGGCTCTTTCTAGAACAGTGAAATCAATCTGATACTGGACTTTTATTACTTTACCATGATACACTGTATGGGTTCCAATTTCACTTTTCCTAAATCACAACTTTTCTCAATAGGAAGATTTGCCACACTGAAGATAGTTAAGAAGGTAGGTCACAAAGCTGTTAGAAAGGAGTTTCTAGATTTCTTTCCTTTTCCAGGAAAGAAAACTCCCTGAACCCCACTCCCAACCATCCCTGGTACTCCAGGAGATTTGTAACACACAATGGGACCAACTGCCCTTTCCTGATTACTATTCTTGTGAGTAAGTCCTTTTGAGGCTGTAACCTACCCTCTTAGGCCCCAAAGATCAGCAGTTTTTATCTAAATGGTCTTACAAATTTGATCTTCATGTGTTTTGAGGGTCAGGTCACAGACAGAACTGCATAAATATTACTCAAACGGCGACTCTTTGATGAGCTGTTGTTCACCTTCTGAAGTTACAAAGTTTTTTTCAAAGAATTTTTATAGGGAGTAAAGTAGATTTCTTTTTAAAGCCCAGTTGTATTTGGAATTTATGTCCCTGAAACACTGTTACTTAATCTCTTCAGAGCTAAGTGTCTGCATTTTGAAAATGTTCTGGATGGAGCTCTGCCCTAGTGGGCCGGTATGCTCTTGGTGGGCCAGTGGTTCTCTCTGCCACCAGATGGGCTGTATCCTGTGATTCCCTGTGAATAGCAGGGTCTAAAACGAGGGCTACAGGGGCCAGGAAGCACCTCTAAGCGTGATGTGTTTAGGTGAATGCAGCGTTTCTTAGTCTCGGCAGTGCTGCCATGCTGGTCATTTGCTGTGCGGCAGGAGTCTGTCTTGTGCACTGTAGGATGTTTAGCTGCATCCCTGGCCTCCGCCCCCCCACATACCAGCAGTAACACTCCCCAGATTATGCTAATCAGACATGGCAACATGGCAACTCGTCCGCTGGGGGTACAAGCACCCGGCTGGGAACCCCTGGTGTGAGTGCAGGCTGGCATTCCCCAGGATACCTGAGCCTGCATGGCACACCTGGCCCCTTCTCAGCCCCTGCAGCTCTGCCCCTGACACACTCACTCACACACGGGACTCAGCATCATGGAAGAACATGCTCAGCCAGGCCAGGCTGGGGGCTCCTGGTTTCCCACCCACAACTTTCACTCTGCTCTCCCAGGTGTTGTGAGCACAATGCACATGTCAGTAGGCACCACGTGAGGACATGCAGATAGCAGCACAGTATCTGGCCCTCACAACGCGTCCACAAGCACCTCTAGTAATTTACAAAAGGACACCTTCTACTAGAGTTCACGCTTACTATTAACACGTCATAGAAGCATCAATGAATGGGCATCTCCACAACTACCCCAAAGAAATGACCTAATCAATGGGGAAGTCTATAGGAAAATGATAGAATTCTCTCTTCCCCCTCACTCATGTCAGGAGGGACCCCTTTGGGAACAGAAGTTCTGCTAAAGATTCCTCATCTTGTCTCCACCTTCCCTCCCTCAAGGTGAACTCACAAGCACTCACCAGCAACACCCCCTTTCGTTCTTGCTCAAGGCTGCTTAGGAAGCTGCACAGAAAGGTCACCTGACTTATATTTTAGTTTTTCATGGAAATGCCTTGACACAAATTTTCAATTCATGTAAAGAAATGTGGGCAGTGTTGATATTTTATCAGGTGCAAAATGGTGCCTGACTAGAGTGTTCAAGTAAAGGACCAAGTCTCCTGGGCAGACTGTGAGAAAAAGCAACTCTGGTTGCAAGGGCTCTGGGCCAACTGTTGTCATTTGTGTCTGAAAACAAGAATTTGGTTGCTCACTGGGTACCTCACGCAGTAAATGTGGAGAGTTGTGAAAGCTCGCTCAATGAACCACCTTGTTTGGAGCAGATGATTCTGTACTCCTCCTTCTACCTTCTAGAAGGAACCCTGAACACCAGGCACCAAGAAGACAAAATCACAATACCTGTCGTGTCTCAGAGCTCTCATGTCCACGTAGACGGTGGTCGGATCGGGCCCCGAGGTCCCCTGCAAGCAAGGACACAGTGAGGTTAACACGAGTTTGCTTTGGAGGAGCTGGGTCTGTGCTTCCTACTGGCTAGGGAGCATTTCTATGGCAAAGTCTGAACAAAACCCAAAAGCACTAAAACCACACCTCTCAACTGATAACCCAGCTCCGAAAGGAACATCTTATTAAGATAATACTGGACTTTCACACAGCTTGACTGTCAATCACATTCATGAAAATTAGAAAGAAAAGGGGCATCTTGCCAAATAAAAGAAGGCTGAAACTACAGAGGCAGCATTTGGCAAAAGCAGGTCGCTGAGGACGTGAAGCATCATTTGCTGAGAGATTTTCACCACATGCATCCCAAAAGGTGTATTTTTAGGGCTCAAGATATTGAAGCAGAACACGTGACATGAGCTGACAGATTAAGGAAGAAGAGATAAAAGATAATGACCTTGTTCGTTCTAGTTCTAATTGTGCCTTGGTTTTCCTCCAATGTGGGAGGCCATTTCTGTCCAAGACATAAGTCAGGGAGGTTGTGTGTTTACCACTGGTCATCTGGGCAGCACCCTGTGTTCTGAACTATTCATTTAACACAGGGTCCAGAAACCTTACCTTGGCATCATAAATCTCTTCAAAATATATGCTGAGTTGACTTCTGAACAGTGATCTCTGCTCATGTAAGAGCAATGGCATTAAAGCTACAAACCGAAATTCTACACACATTTCTTGGGAAAGTAATGCAACACCTTGGGTAGAAAAAGACAGAACCTAAGAAAAATCTGCCAAAAAATAAGGGAGCCTCTCAGAATTTATTTGAAGAACTACACTAAAATTCTTCACGAGAGAATCTTAATCTTATACCAAAGGCTCGTTTAAATATAAGAAAAAGATAAAAAATAAAGACACCTTTGTTGTACCATACCGGACCCCCCCCCCGATAATCCTCCCCACAGAGAAAGCACATGCAATCAGCCTGGAGGAGGAGCTGCACTGCTGTGTGGCCACGGCGCCCTCGCTGATCTGTAACTGCTTGGGGGAGCCGTGTTACAGACCAGCGCTGAGTGGAGAAGCGGTTTGTGGTCTGAGTAATGCAAAGCACATAACCATAAGAGGCCAATTAAAAACAAACAAATCAGAAAACAGGTCACTAGAAGTGGAAAATGAAATAAAACGGAGATGACCCCAAACTGATGGTATAAATGGAGGCACAGCGTTTGTCACAAACGTGAGACGTCTGACAAGATCTGAGAAGTGACACCGCGCTGGCCGTCAGCCCTCCTGACCACGGGTCTAGAAGCCCAGCCCATCTCTGCACTCAACTCCTAGTCTGCCCACTGCTGGGAGCTGACGAGACAGTGGTGGTTAGCAGGCACTGGTGTGGATGAGCGGGAAATCCCTACCTTCTCAGCCAGCTTCCACAGCCGGTGGGGCTACAGCAGCAGGAGGTGGGAGTAGAGGAAAGGTGAGGACACCAGACCAACAGACACCGAAAATCCAGGACACACACAGACACATAAACAAACAACCCAACAATAAAAGTGGGATGAAGAAGAGAGAGGGGTGGGGAGGAAAATGCAAAAAGCAGGGAACAAAGTAAAAAGAAGATCAAAAACAATGTCAAATATGGAAGTCGTTAAAATCAATCACTGTACCATTAAAGGTTAAAAAAAATCTAAAAAGATGTCCACATATCCACAGAGCAACAGAGGAGAGTAACAGATGACTAGCCACGGGAAGGTAGACCTGAGTCATCGATTTTAATACATATTGTCAGTGGGTTTTGATTTTATGGTACCTTTCTCTAGTTTCTTTTCTTTTCTGAGAAAGTGGGGAGTATGAATTTTATTGGCCAAATCTGTCAAGTGCTCCTCATTGAAACAGTTTCAAGTTTCTTACTACAACAATGAAGGGGAGCCTGGAAGTTTGTGGATCTAATTAAAATCAGGGTGTCTAGCCCTACTCACCTACAAGATTAGGACAAGAAAAGAGGTCAGAGTACGAGCGAAGCGTGAATCAAACCTTGGGCTCCTAGGTGGTCTAGCTCCGCGGTGCGGGGAGGGACCCCCCAGTGAGCACCCTGCTTCACCCTCAGCTCCGTCCTCAGAAATGCTGCCTTCATTTCTCTCTTGTCTTCCACGGTTTTGGTGCCCACCTCTACCTCTGTTAAAGCATCTATACCCACGGGGGAAAGACTCCAGAAAGCAACGTGGGCAAACGTCTCTGATGTTGTGGATTCCCTGGCTGGCCCGGTGTCTTTCCCAAACACTCCTAGAAAACTAGAACAGGGCCAAGTTCTCCCTTGGGTGCGGTCCTGACCCCGTCATCACAGTCACTAGGTGGGCTCCAGAGACGATAGCAACAGCAACAAAGAAGGAGCTCTTCACTAGGTTTCCTGAGGCTGCAATTTGTGAATAAACAAGGCCAGACTGAAAAACTATCATCACGCAACTTGGAGGCAAGTCTATTTAAAAAAAAAAAAAAAGCAATGGTTCCAGATTTAAAAATTACGATTCCATCCTTCTCTCTGAGACTTCCTTCACTGTGGTAACCATGGCTACTGCTTTCTCTCAGCATCTCTACTTTTAGAAAACTGAGGCAGGACTCAAGGAAAGAGAAGACGGCCAGGAAAGGTGTGTGCACCTGGAAGGCACACACAGCTTTCACTGGGTCTCCTCAAGCTGAATGCAATAATTTAAATAATTTCTCTCATGATTCTCTGAATCCCAAACATGAATTGGAACAAAACTAAGTCCATGTTCTCTCTCTAAATTATTCTAATTCACAATTTTTAAAAATAATGACTCAAAGTAGTATCTCAGAAGAAAAATACACATGACTGGGAACAAGTTTCCTATCTTGTAAATGTGTGGAGGAGATAACATCTGGAGCAAAATCGGTCTACCGACTAATGAGGGAGACGTGAACAAAGAGTTAATGTACAGGTGTTTCCAAGTTTCAAAAACCCTAAGGTAGAAAATGCTGAGATTTCAAGATAAATAGTAGGGAGTGAATATTTAACAAAATCTTTACTTTGCCAAAGAATGCAAGCTGGAGTTCCTTTAACTAAGGAGTATGCTCCTAAGTATTTAAAGATAACGGAATACTTCCAGAAGGGACCAGCAAGAAAGCAAAGCTATCTATTCCAAACAAAGTTTATCAGAAATGAAGATGAAACATGTTTGAAATTGCAAGTTATATTAATCAGAAAAGAGGATTAACTTTAATGTTCAGCTGTATAATAAAGTTACACATGGACATACAGTAAAAATCATTTTTTCTTATTGTCATAAAAGTGTATCAGTTAGGTATTAAGCACTTATTGAACAAATGAGTTATATTTAAATCTCAGCTGTAGATATACAGACTCACATCCCAAACACAGCACGGCCAATTCAACACAGTACTTATCTGAACACCTCGGCTGAGTGGTACTTTTCTATTCAGCAACTCACATACTATAGCATTAGTACAATCTAGTATTAGCACATAACTCCTTAAGCCTAAGTAGCAAATTCTAAGCAGAAACGTGATATAAAGACACAGTTCCAGAGTACTGACACTGGGCATATCTACTGTGCTGGTGTTTGAGGAGTTGAGGGAGTTTCCCATAACTGGGGGCACAGGAGGCAGCTCTGCAGGACTGGATTCCAGCAGGGTATGGGCACAGCAAAGTGGTTCATCAGTGGGCTCTTCCCCCCCTGAACTTTAAGCAGTGTTTCTGCCTGGATGACCCCAAGGCACATTCTTTGGTCCTCCTAGCAGATCTGTGTATTAATAATGATCTTTTCACTATTTTAACTGAGATTTCAGCTTCCTTTTGATAAGCACTAGTATGGTGCAACGTTTCCACGCTTATACCTTTAATCTATTTGTGTCTTTATTATTATTTTTTTTTTTCTTGCGTTATGCGGGCCTCTCACCGCTGTGGCCTCTCCCATTTGCGGAGCACAGGCTCCGGACGCGCAGGCTCAGCGGCCACGGCTCACGGGCCCAGCCGCTCCGCGGCACGTGGGATCCTCCCGAAACGGGGCACGAACCCGCGTCTCCTGCAACGGCAGGCGGACTCTCAAGCACTGCGCCACCAGGGAAGCCCTGTGTCTTTATTTTTAAACCATGTTTGTTTTAGGCTATATATAACTGGGTCTTGCTTTTTAAAAATCCAAACTCATGATCTCTGCATCTTAAATGAAGTGGTAGAGGATTTATATTTATTATTGGTGTGATTATGTTTAAATCTATTTTTTGTTGTTTATAATTCATCCCATCTATCCCCCCCCACCTTTTCTCTGCCTTCTTTTATAGATCCATTCTCTCTTCTCTGTTGGCTTATTAGCGACAACTCTTTGTTTTTCTAATTTTAGTGGTTACTTGATGGCTTATAGCATACATCTTTAATTTTCCAGCCTACTTTCAAGTGATATTACACCAATTCACATGTTGGAAGAACCTTATGATAGTATACTTCCATTTCTCCCTCCCAAACTCTGGGCAGTTGCTGTCATCAGTTGACTTTTATAGGTGATATAAACCCTATAGTATATTACAAGTTTTGTAAAGGCAGTCAATTACCTTCTAAAGAGACTTAATAAGAGAAAAATCTTATATGTTTAACCTATGCACATGCCATTTCTAGCATTATCCATTCTTTTGTATAGACCCAGATTTCAAACTGGTATCATTTCCCTTCTGCCTAAAGGATTTCCTTTAATATTTCTTGCTCTGTGGGCCTGCTAGTAGTTGATTCTCAGCTTTTGTATGGCTAAAAAGAGTTTTTATTTCAAGTTTGCTCTTGAAAGATATTTCCATTGACTACTATGAAATTCTAGGTTGACAGTATTTTTCTTTTAGTATTTAAAAGCTGTGTTCCACTGTCTCTTTGCTTACATTTCTGATGAGAAGTCTGATGTCACTCTCATCACTGTTCCTCTGTAACTTGATTTTTTTCTTCTGTCTGCTTTTAAGATTTTCCCTGTATCACTGGTTTTGGGCAATTTAGTTAAGCAGTTTCCTTCATGTT